TCATTATTCATTACATGTTTAAACCTTTTTTCATTGTCAATTTAACAAGTCAGATAAATTATAATTCTGTTTTAAACCATTTCCATACAACATACCAAAACCTCTTATTCAATTTCTCTTTACTTCTCTTTACTCTTATTCAATATCATTATTATTATTTCATCTGTTTCTTTCTGACTTAGTTACCATTATTCTCATTCTATATTTCTACAATTTTTAACTAATTCTCCCCCCCAAAAAGACATATACACACAACACACAAAACATAAAAAAAATCTTTTTGGAAAGTAACTTGGACCCAGGTGTCTCTCTCTTCATGGACTTCAATTATATTCATGCTCATCTTACATATCATTACTTATTTTATTTACCATTCTAAGCCTTCTATATTAACTTCCCCACATATTTCACACTTCTTACTTCTATCTTAATTAATCATCTTAATTTGAATCATTATATTTATATCTTTTGTCCATTTTTTATCATCCCTTTATCTCATTCCTTATAAAAAAAAAGAAAATAAGTTTCTCCTGAAATCATTAATCAGAGTATGATGCCTTTCTATCTCCCCCCTAAGTTAATCAAATTAATCTTTAAAATAATATCTAATACCCAATCCGATTTTGCTTGGTACATTCTGTCTAACTAATACATCCAACGTAATTAAGTACATAATTAGACAATAAATCCAAATATTAAAAAAAGATACTATAATAAAAATTTTATAATAACATCAATACCATAGTCTTATTAAACTCTTTAATTAAAACAATATTCTAAACCTCCCCTATTATTAAGTTTTAAAGCCAATCATTTTTAAACATTTTAACATTTTAATCTCTTATCAACTCTTAAATCATTACAATACTACCATCTCATCTTATGTACCTTGCAAAATCTTTTTTTTTAAAAAAAAATTATACTTTATCCATTATCCATAAAAAATTTCTTTTTTTCATTTAATTTCAAAACATTGTAGCTTTTCTCCACCTTTTCCCTTTCTTTCTTCTCCCAACAAACCTTTCTACCCCCCCTTCTTCTAGCCTCTGCCTTACCAGCTTCCCTTCTCTGTCGTATTCCTTTTCCCTTTTGTTTACTATCATCATATTGGTTTTGCACCTTATTTTTCCCTTTCTTAAATGTTTTTTTAGATCTTAAGTCCTTAAGTCCTTTAGTTTTCTTCTTTTCTCTTCTTTTCTTTTCTTTCTCTCTTCCTTCTTTCTGGATCAAATTCTGAGATTCATTAAAAATGGCTCCTTTCTTTCTTTCTTTCTTGTTCCTCTGCTGTCTTCATCTGTTGTAATGTTTGTTGATAATTAATAAGCGCCATTTCTAAGAAAAGGAAAGCTTCTTCCACACCATCTTTACCATTTTTTTTTGCTTGTTCATATTCTTTTCTTAGTTCCTCAACAGAAAGAGCCATTATAAATCTTTTCTTTTCTTTTCCCCTTCTTTCTTCTTACAACAACCAGAATATTAAAAAAAAATATAAAAAAAATAAAACAGTCCCAAAGTTATCAGTCAGTCCAAACCAAGGCAGAGTTCTCACTTTCTCCTTCTGGGGTAATATCAATCCAAGAGAAAGAAAGTCCAAATCTGTTTAAAATCTTATTGCAATATATTCTAGTCTTTAAATCCTTAAGGCATCTGCTCCAACAAAGTCTTAGCATACAAATGTTTTCTTTTTAATCCTCTCTCTTCCCACTCATCGCTTAAAACCAATTTTCACCTAAAAGAAATAGATTTCTTAATATCCAGTTATTTATTCCGTAGGAAAAGAGGGAAAGCTATCCTTTCAGCACCTTCAAACAGCCGCTTTTTTTCCTCTTCTGGCAGGTATTATTCAGAAAGTCATACTTTTCAGGAATTTTATTAAATATGTCTTAGAGTCCTAGGAGCCAAGAAAAACTTTCTCCTCTCAATCACTTTCTCCACTTCCTCCTGCGCATTCTTACCCGGCTGCCAGCTTCTTTGTGGCGGCCATTACAGACCGCCGCTGCACCGTCCTGGGAAAAGGGAGTTCTGCCGGCCAGGGAGGGAGTCTGCAACACCCCCAAACCCTTCTCCGGATCCCCCCTACCTTCAGCTGCCCCTGCAGGGCAGCCTAGCTCCGTACCCGTCTGGGTCGGAGCCCCAAAAACGGCTAGCGCGGCAGGGATCGCGCAGCTTCGCAAATCCCTGTCGCTCGCGAAGCCGACAAACCGGAAGACCACGCGTGTATCGTAATTCATATTCTCCAATGGGACACATCCACAGCTGTTCTGACTCAGGCTTCGTCTAAACAGAATTAATATCAAACTTGTTTTAAAAGCAAAACCTTTTATTGCAACGCTGTGAATTACTTTCATTCCCAGCCAGAACTAATTCTAAACAGTTCCCCAAGATAAGCACACACCTTTCAGGGCTATGGAACGCTGCCAAAAAAAAACAGAAGTATCCAATTAATTATAACAGAAACCAACCGAAGTACCAGAAAAAACAACAACCAGAGTACACAGAGCTTCAAGGATTAATCCAAACCGAGCGAACGACTTTGCTTCCTGCAAAGGTTTCTCTACCTTCCTCGCTGCTGCCAGGCTCCAGAGGCAGCACCCCACTCCCAGATGGCCCCATCCCTGCATCGGACACAGGACTCTAGTCCAAGTCCTCTCCAGACTCCCAAATTGGTCGCCGTTCTTCCCCGCTGTCCGATTCCGCTGCCGTTTGCACCGGCTGCCGGTGAACCGCAACAATAGCCCAGACTGCATCAATCATTCTCACCCGTTAGAAATTTTGCTTGGCACAAACTTCAGTCACCTGGTTACTATCTTTGAAAAAAAAAAAAAAATCATTTATGGAATGCACTTTCGATTTCCAAGCAGCCGCACTGCTCTTTCAAATTCCCTTTCCCCGCTCCCTTTCTTTTGGCAACTCTAAAAAGTCCATAGAAATATTTTAGGAGTTGACACAGGAAGCAGAACACTGGTGACCTTTGACACACACACACCCCGGAAAAAACACACCAGCTCAATGGTCTCCCAGTTACTCACCCCATTGTTGGGACCCACGTGTTGTTCGGCGATGCCCAGGAACGACTGCAGTGGGGTTTTGCCACCTGCAAGAGACGAAAGCTGTAAAAAGGGGGGGATTTTGAATTTGTGGGTGGTGCGGGTGGGACACAACAGAGTGGCACGATGGCCTAGAGGTGGCATTCTCGTCTCCCAAACAAGAGGCTGTGAGTTCGATCCTAGGTCTCTGGGTACAATGAGAATACATCTGCCGAACAAAACTCCGTACTGGCAACAGGTAAGGCATCCAGCCAGTAAATACTCAAAACTCCATTGAATTGCCCAGTCTCCACCCCGCAAGGGATTGATGATGATGAAGGGACGTGGTGGCTCAGTGGCTAAGACACTGAGCTTGTCAATCAGAAAGGTCAGCGGGTCGGTGGTTCAAATCCCTAGCACTATGTAACGGAGTAAACTCCTGTTATTTGTCCCAGCTTCTGCCAATCTAGCATTTCAAAAGCATGTAAAAATGCAAGTAGAAAAATAGGGACCCCTTTGGTGGGAAGTATCTATCTCTATCTATTTATTATCTATCTATCATCTATCTATCTATCTATCTATCTATCTATCTATCTATCTATCTATCATC